CTGCACTAACCTGAACTGCTCCAAAAATGTTTCCTATTTAAAGACGAAGATGTTGAGCAAATGCATATATAATATTGCCGTTTTTCATTTCTGGAATTTTTTTTTATCTAAGTGAATTCTTACAGTTAGAGAATTTGTAGAAGAAAGAGCCTAACTAATGTGTGGCTTTCAATTTTTCTTTTAATTCACAGTACAAATTTGGTTATGATTAAAGTGTTACCTTACAATCTTATATCTGATAAGAAATTCTTAAGATATAACTTCAAAAAACAGAATTCTTGTTTAATGAAAAAGATATGAGTTCCTATTAGAGCTTGCTTACAAAGATATTAATGGCTAGCGAGAATAAATCAAATTACAGTACTTTTTGCTTCCTTATTAAAACAGAAAACCTATTTATCTTGATATCATTGCATGCTTCTATAGTAGTAGCAGCAACAATGGTAGAAGTAGTAACTATTCAGAGCTTGGAGATCAGAAGACATGATTGAAGCCATATTAGTGCACTTGCAACAAAAACACTGTCTGTGATACGTTTTTGTATTTTCACTAACATTTAAATTTTTAGGACAAGCATTTTAGGTGTTCTCTTCTTCTCAGTACTTCTCACTATGAATATTAATTATATTTGACACAAAACACAATGGACTAAATGTGGATCTCCTTTTTTCTAAGGGCTCATGTACACGGGACATTTGGAAAACTGAAAAATGGAAACTGACTGCTGGAAAGCATAGGTTAAAAAAAACGTCTGTTTAGCTGCGTTTGCATACCACATTTATGTTTAGAAGCGTTTTTTAAAGATAACTCAGGAGACCCTCCCAAATGCCCAGAATGTACTGAAAAATAGTAAATAATTAACTATTTCAGACATTTTGAGAGAAATAGAGAGAGCAGAAGCAGAGAGAGCAGTATGTGTTGAGATGACCTGTCTTTTCTGGTTGTATTCACTATGGATCCCATCATGAGCATAATGCGGCACATTCTACCATTTTTTTTGTCCTTCATTCAAAACCTGGAGCTGACTGCGCTGGTGTGCTAGGTCCATTTGAATACATGGAAAACACTTTGCATGAATTTCTGATGAGGAAAAAAGGCTCTGGACAGCATCTGGATATGAACAGTTAAAAAACGCTTCTAAACACAAATGCTTCTAAACATGGTTAACCGTGTTTACAAGCGTTTACAAGCATTTGGAATTTGAAACGCCGGTAAAATCTACTTCTGAACGCAAGTTTGGTGCATTCAAAAAAACAACTGCAAACTCAACTGCCTGTAAACGACTATGTGTAGATGGACACATAGGAAAAGATTAGGGAGAGTTCAGGGGCTGCTGAAAAAAACGCTGAACAGCTCCTGAACGTCGGGTTTTAGCAGCGGTAGTGTACATGATCCCTAAGTCCCTATCCAACTGTTTTATGGCCAGTCTCACCTCAGTGACTCATACACCCCTTCCCTCGCCTTCCCTTCCATTCTATAACCTGCTTCTTTCCTTGTGTTTTTCTCAGAGATTGTCTAACTTAAACTTTTTCTAAAACTTTGCATATCAGTACTGCTTAGACCGAGAAGGTAACACACAAGGGTTTATTTGCTAAAGCTGGAGAGTACAAAGTTAGGCTCACTTCTGGATAGAAACCAATCATCTTCTAAGCTCAGATTGTTCAATTAAGCTTTGACAATAAAACCTGGAAGCTGATAAGTTTCTAGGCAGAAGTGAGCCTGATTTTGCACTCTCCAGCTTTTGTAAATAAACCTCACTGACAGCTTTTCCTGAAAATGTGAATGTTAGTGCGTATAAAAATATATCAGATAGTATCCAGTTCTTTTTTTAGATCAGGAAGATTTAGATTTAGGAGGAAAAAGCATACATATTCCTACATCCTACATATTTGCTTAGGAAGTTAAAGCGGAGCTCCACCTAAAAGGGGAAGTTTCGCTTTAAGGCTTCGTCCCCTGCTCCCTGTTAAAGATTGTCACCCTTGGGGAGTGGGGGAAGGGGGTACCCGAATTTGATAGGTAGCCGCTCCCACTTTCGCTGTGATCACCTAGGCCAGGGGTCTCCAAACTTTGTAAGCAAAGGGCCAGTTTACTGTCCTTTAGACACTATGGGGGCCAAACTGTGGCCAGTGGGAGTAGAAAATGCTCCAACATCAGTGGAAGTAAACAGTGCCCCTTAATTTGTTTAGGTGGAAGGTATAGTGCCCCATTGTTGGTATCAGTGGGAGGAATAGTGCCCCATAATTGATGTCAGTGGGAGGAGTAGGGCTCATCATTGGTGTCAGTGGGAGGAATAGTGCCCCATCAGTGGTGTCAGTGGGAGGAATAGTGCCCCATCATTGGTGTTAGTTTTAGGAATGGTGGCCCATCATTGGTGTCAATGGGTGGAATAGTGCCCCATCATTGGAGTCAGTGGGAGGAATGGCTCCCCATAATTGGTGTCAGTTTGAGAAATGGCACTCCATCATTGGTGTCAGTTTGAGGAATGGCACCCCATCATTGGTGTCAGTGGGAGGAATAGTGCCTCATCATTGGTGTCAGTTTGAAGAATGGTGCCCCATCATTGGTGTCAGTGGGAGGAATAGCAGTCCATCATTGGTGACAGTTGTGGATGGAATAGTGTCCCAAGGGCTGGATAGAGTTAGGCAAAGGGCTGCAGTTTGGAGATCACTGGCCTAGGTGATTGGAAGCAGACGTTTTCCTCCCCCCTCCCTCCCTGTAGGCTTCTGGGATACGTGACATGTCCCAGAAGACTAAGGGACCATTCACAAGGTGCAGTGCTACTCGCACATGCGCAGTGGGCACCCGGCTGTGAAGCCTCAAGCTGTCACAGCCAGGTACACACACTGAAGATGCTGCTGCAGGGGACACAGGAAGACCGGTGAACCCGGCAAGAATTAGGACACCTCAGGGTCTGTTTTTTAAAAGTCAGCAGCTACAGATTTTGTAGCTGCTGACTTTTATTTTTTTTTTTTTTTTTGACCTCCACTTTAATAAGATCAGGGACCAACAAGAAAGTATAGTTCAACAGCTTTTGGAATTCTGTTTATCCTATAATACCATGATTTCTTGGGTAATACTTTCTCATTGTCTTCAGGCTCTACTTTATAGAGGATATTGCTTCTATCCAAAGCACTGATGATGGTCAACAAGCCTAAAACAGCTGTATGTAGTTTGGAATAAGTGGCTATAGAAAAATAGGCTGTATCTTTGCTATACTGCAGCAAGTCTGGATTTACAGTTAAAGTAATTGTAAAGATAGAAGGTTTTTTATTACCTTAATGCATTCTTTGCTTCTCCGTGTAGCTCCCCCCTTATAGTTACCTAACCCTGATCCTGAACCAGTACTATGCCCAAGAGCAGTGGCTCTTTCCACTCTCTCTCTCCTCATAGGACATAGTGGCAGCAGCAGGAGCCATTGGCTCTTGCTACTGTCAGTGATAGCCAGTGAGCAGAGGGGGGGAAGGGCCAAGCATGGGATCGAGCCCAAATGAGTACCCCCATAGCAAGCATCTTGCTATAGAAAACACACAGCAGAAGAAGAGGATTAGGTTGCTTGGCCAAGCCATTTCACAAAGCAGGTAAGCATGACATGCGTGTTATAAAAAAAAATAAATAGGTTTACAATTACTTTAAATAAAAGGGTATAAAACTGTGATTTGCATGGCTTTGCATACTGTCCTGAAATAAAGAATAATACCCTTTTTGGGGGAATGTGATGGAATGTGAATAGCCTTTCTTCTAAGTAGGTTTCGCTTTTGATGCATTAAATAAACACCAGCTTGCACTTACATATTAAAATAAACACAGATTTTTACTTCAACATATATTTGTCTGCTTCTTTCTGGAATATGTTAGTGCAAATCAGTGTTCACTTACATAATTAAAGCTGACGTTTAAATTTTGCGTTCTCTGGTTTAACCTTTCCCCTTATCAACATGCTAAGGAGATTTTAAATAAACATTTGCATACAATGTTTTAGACCTGGTGATGTCATCACTGGGTCTCTGTGCTTCTCAGCACTGTGCAGACAGATCATGGCTGGTGGAAAGGACCAGCAGGGTGCTGTATATGGTCTCCTGAAAATATCACAGCATCCTACTGTAGTACTTCTCTCACGACCAATCAGTCTCTGATTCAAGCATATGGTTAGCTCTAGGAAGGAGTCCTTCCTTTCAAATATCAAAGTGAATATCCACCTGGAAGGCTGGAATTGGATGATCCGAGGTAGGCTGTATTTGCATGCAGACTGCCCTAAAAAATGCCCACAAGTGATGCTGAGTCCCTACAATTGAAAGAACTGAAATGCATTCTAGAAAAATGGCAGGCCAGGTAAGAGAAAACATCTCAATGATCTTGGATGTCCTCCAGACAGGAGAAGAGGCAGGTTCTATCTGACTTGCTGCAGCTTTCAATGCAAACTGTGGGACCCTTGGTGCGCAGTATAATCAGAGTAAGCTGTCAGTACAGGAGTGGATTCAGTACAACTGTGCTAGACCAAAGGTAAGGCGGGAGTTTATTTTCAGGGTGTCTGTACAATCCTATGTACTCTTTTCTATTCCTTTTTTTTATTTGAAGACTAACATGGATATTTTCAGGCATCACAAGGTAGTTACCCTTCTAGGGTTGCCACTTCATCCCTTTAAACCCAAACACATATTAATTACACAAGCCCTGAGGCTAATTTAATGCAGATAAGACACCAAGTGAGTTTAACCGATTGCCTACCGGGCACTTATACCCCTTCCTGCCCAGACCAATTTCCATCTTTCAGCGCTGTCACACTTTGAATGACAATTGCACGGTCATGCATCACTGTACCCATATGAAATTTTTATCATTTGTTTGTGACAGATAGAGCTTTATTTTGGTGGTAATCACCTCTGGGTTTTTTTATTTTTTCTTAAACAAACCAAAAACCGCTGAAAATTTTGAAAAAAAATGTCTTAGTTTTTGTTGTAAAATTTTGTAAATAAGTGATTTTTCTCCTTCACTGATGTGCGCTAATGAGGCTGCAGTGATGGACACTGATAGGCTGCACTGATGGACACTGATACGTGGCACTGATGGGCACTGATGAGGAGGCACTGGTAGGTGGCACTGATGGGCATTGACAGGCATCACTGATGGGCACTGAAAAGCAGCACTGATATATGGCACTGATAGGCGGCACTGACTGGCACTGTTAGGCGGCACTGACTGGCACTGATAGGTGGCACTGACGGGCACTGATAGGCAGCACTGATGCGCACTGATAGGCAGCACTGACTGGCACTGATAGGCAGCACTGATTGGCAACACTGATAGGTGGCACTGACTGGCACTGGTGGGTGACACTGAAAGACAGCTCAGATGGGCACTGATATGTGGCATTGATGCGCACTGGTAGGCACTGATATGTGGCATTGATGTGGCACTGATGGGCACTGGCATGTGGCACTGTTCAGCACTGACAGCTGGCACTGATGGACACTGATAGGTGGCACTTCTGGGGCCACACTGATCATCAGGGCACACTGATCATCAGTGCCCTGATGATCAGTCTACATGTCCCCTGCAAGGAATGGTGATCACCGGCTCTCCTCTCTAGCTGTCAGCGTGACAGCTCGTGAGGAGAGAAATACCGATAATTGGCATTTCCCTGTTTACATGTGATCAGATATGATTAGACACAGCTGATCACATGACCGAGCCGACGTCTTCGGCTCTTTTCGTAGATCGGTGATCCGCTGTGTCCCTGAGCCGCGCATGCACGGTGAGAATGGGAGGACGTCATATGACGTCCTCCCAGAACGAGAGAACCACCTTGCACCCATCATTGGACCATATGGCGGGCGGGAGGTGGTTAATTACCACCTTAATCAGCCACAGAACCTGTGTAATTAACATGTGTTCGGTTTTAAAGGGATGAGGTGGCAACCCTTTACCCTTCATATTTTTTCTTGCCTTAGCCACTTTCTATACAGGGACAAGCTCACATTAAGATCTTTCATAATAGAGGCTCTGTTGCTAGGTCCTTCTCTTACCTGGCAGCCAAACCTTGTTATTAGTCTCCTCTATCCTTATAGGAGCTGACTGACGCTCAGAGCTCTCGGCTATGAAAACCTGCTGCTTGGTGAAAAGGCTGATTGCTGACAGAACACAAAAAATGCACAAGTACTGCCTGTTTTTTGGGGGAACCTATTAGGGGAACCCTGATATCCAGGAACTGATTTGAGTTTATTTAATGGCATGTTTTTATGCTATAAGCTTTCTGTACAAAGCCCTTTATTTCTTTGCTGCCTTGTTAGAAAACAAATGCAGGACAAACCTGCCTGGACTGTTCCTGGATGTCCCTGTCCAATGCATTGCTTACGGTTGATGGCAATAGCAGTTAATTAATATAAACTGGCCATAGATAGATTAAAGATAAAAAAAAAAACATGAGTTTAAGTGAAGCTTTCCCTGCACTGTGAATTTGTCAAGACTTTCTGTCAGGTTTTATTTCTTTCATGTGCAAAGAAACATGAACCGAGGGAAAGAATAAAAGTCATTAACTGACATGAAAAAAAGTGCTACTGAATACAGCCAAGAAACATGACTTAACTGAGGATGAATCATAATAAAGTAGAGGCACTTTGTGACAGGATAGATATTTCAGGTGTGTAACCTGTACTGTAACCTTGTTGTGTAACAATACAGTAGAATTGGAGCAGAATTGATTACAGTTACTTGTGGTACATCACACAAAGGTAGAAAAAAAAACAATTTCTTTTGTATTGTATTATATTTTGTGGCCATACACTGTACATATTCTGTACAACCTATTTATTCAGTAGTATGATAAGTATCCTTCAGCAAACATCAGCTGTTCTCCCATGCATGGGGGACTATGATATACTGCATGTAATAAAAATCATGTAGAATTAGACCAATCAAACTTCTAGAAGGCACCATGGTTGAAAAATTGCACATGTGAAAGTGATCAGCTTAATGCAAACATTGATGTTTTTTTCAAAGGAATTTGTTAAATTGCACGGAATAATTATTACAGCACCAAAGGCATTTTGGGTAGACTCTTCTCTTACACGGGCAGCACAGTTGCTTAGTGGTTAGTACTTCTGCCTTGCTGCACCAGCTTCTTGATTTGTATCCAGGTCACGGCACTATGGGGTTGATTTACTAAAACTGCTGAGTGCAAATTCTGGTGCAGCTGTACATTGTAGACAACCAACTTCTAACTTCAGCTGTTCAATTAAGCTTTGACAAAAAACTGGAAGCTGATTGGTTTCTATGCAGAGCTGCACCAGATTTTGCACTCTTCAGTTTTAGTAAATCAACCCCTAGGTGTATGGAGAGGGCATGGATTTCTTCCCACACTCCAAAGACATGCTGGTAGGTTATTTGGCTCCTTTCCAAATTGTCCCTAGTATGTCTATGTATGAATGTGAGATAGGGCCCTTGTATTGTAAGGACAGAAAATGATGTGAATGTAAAGTATGTAAAGCACTACGTGAATTGTTGGTAATAGATAAATATATATAAATACCTGTAATAAATAAATAGATGTACTACTATTCATAACCAAATTCAATGTGTGCATATTAAGAGATGTGCAATGCATGCAGGTATTTTTTAGCTCTAAGATTCCATTTACACCAGTGCAGTTCAATAATGTGTGTGTTACTGGAAAGCATGTGTTATGCACATTAGTGTAGTGTGGTGCAATTCATTATGAATGAAACCCCAATGCAGCTTCCCAGCACACCTGTGTTCCAGCATAGCACAACATGCAGCAATACACTACTATACATTGTTGAGCATCCCCTTCTGGCTGTATGGTGTCCTCTGGCTTCCTTCCAAATTGAGCTCAGGGATGGTTTCATCAACAAGCTCTTTTTGACTTTCTTTTACATACAAGGGGTCAAATTGGTCCGGGGAGTGCAGAGTATTTGTGGGCACAGTAGAATGGAACACATATATATTTATTTTTTTAACTATAGGAACATGTGGGTGATTAAGCATATGGTACATGGGATACAGTTGGACCTTTATTTGGACATTTATTTATTGTTTGTTAATCTTACCTTTTTTACAAGTGAAAGTGCTGGTTTAGTAGACTCATATTCATTTGACACTATGGGGGTTATTTACTAAAACTGCATGGTGCAAAATCTGGTGCAGCTCTGCATAGAAACCAATCAGCTTCCAGGTTTTATTGTCAAAGCTTAATTGAACAGGCTGAAGGTAAAGTCAGATTGGCTACCATTAACAGCTGCACCAGATTCTGAGAGCACCAGTTTTAGTAAATTTCCTCCTATGTGTGTGACCTGTGATTTATCACCAGTGATCACATGGTACCTGTGCCAATCACACATCTTATACCTGGTAGAAGATCCTGATATTATGAGGAAGGTCCCTCTTACGCCTCTGACTTGGGGCCACTAATAGAGTAAACAGGTAGGGCAGGAGGGCAGAGTGGCATGAGTACTTAATGGTCTTGCTAGTCACAGGGATGGGCAGGATCTCCTAGCCAGTAGATGGTCATCGTAGTGAATCACAGCAAGCAGAGATGCCGGGCAGCAGCTGATGAGCAGTAGGCAGGAGAAGGCTGGCACTGGCGACAGCAGACAGGTAAACAACAGGCAGATAGCAGGCAGATGGAGAACAGGCACCAGTGGATAACAGACAAATGTATTCAGCTTGGAAATTCACTGAAGACTGAAACTTAGACAGGGTCAGATGAGTGGGGTAGTACACAGGCAGACATATCAGGTACAGATGTAGAAGCAGGAGCTAGTCACGATAGTGGCCAGGTCAGTAACAAATCAGTGAAGTAGCAGCACTGGGCACACGCAGAAACAAAGGTCAGGGACAAGCCGTGGTTAGTGCAAGCAGAGTTCAGAAATAGTCAACGAAACCTGTGTAAGTAACTGCAGATAGATACAGAGTAACAGGTTGCAGGTTGACACGGGTAGACAGGACAGCACTGATCTTGAGTACTGGCCAAGTTTAAATAGTCCATTTCTGCATGAATGTACACACACATGGACATCAGCATGTGCACATCTCCTACATGCTTGTGAAGAGCCATGAGCAGGAACCTGTTCTTGGAGCCATCTTGTTTGCTGGCATGCCTTCTTTGACATTGCCCCCCGAAATGGGCAGCTTCCAAATGCTCAACTGGACTAACTTCTCTGGATGAGAAAACGGTTTAATGTTTGGATGAGTATCTTGGCATTTATATTGCACATCTCCTATTTGCTTATGAAGAACCATAAGCAGAAAAAATCTGTTCTTTGAGCCATCTTGTCTGCTGGCATGCCTTCTCTAACATTAGCCCCCCCCCCAATGGGCAGCCTCCAAATGCTCAACTGGGCTAACTCCTCTGGATGACAGCTAACTCCTCTGGTTGAATGCTTGGATGAGCTTCTTGGCATGGATATTGCTCTCAGGTTCCCAAGAGTTTTCTCCAGGCCAATACCCCATCTTGTCTGCTGGCATGCCCTTCCTAACACACAGCACTATATAGCATGTGATTAGCACTCTGTACCATGTGAATATCCTTGATCCCCACCACACCAGGCATATGATGATGCTCAGGGGTGGACTGACCAATTGGAAACTTGGGCAGTGCCCGAGGGCCCAGGGTCAGTAGGGGGCCCCATGAGATGCCCCTGGTACCTTTTTCATAGGCTTTTTTGAGCTTGGACAAGGACACAGGGGCCCCATGATCCCCTATTGCCTGGGGGCCCCATGAGTTGTCAGTCCGCCCTGATGATGCTGTACTGCACTGGTGACAGTAAGTAAAAAAAACTGAAAAAAAACTGATTTTATTTAATGTCTGCATTTTCCACAAATTGTGACAATAAATACAAACTTGCCATGCTTCTTACTAAATACCTTACACTGTCTACTTTCCAAAAAGGGGGCATGGAGGGGGGGGGGGTATCTGTACTGTCCAGGCATTTTAAGAGCCTCAAGAAATTAGATCAGTCAGTATACCAAAGAAATTTAGCAGAATACATTTTGGTCTAAATTTATGAAGAAAGGTTATTTGTTTTCAAACTTTTATAACAGAAACTAAGAAAATTTTTATTTTTAATTTGAGGTATTTTTTTTCATTTACAGTTAGGTCCATATATATTTGGACACAGGCACAATTTTCATACTTTTGGCTCTGTATGCCACCAGAATCAATTAAAATGAAAAAATCCATATGAATTTGAAGTGCAGACTTTCAACTTTAATTCAAGGGGTTGAACATAAATGTCAAGTGCAAATTTTAGGAACTGCATCCATTTGTATACACTCCCTCTATTTTTAGGGGCTCAAATGTAATTGGACAAATAAAT